TGGCGCTTCCTGGGCGCTGCGATGGCTTTTTTCACAGAAATCTGACGGCCCTCGTTTTTTTGGCCAAAAAAATTCCAAAAAAAGTCAAACTTTTTAAAAAAAAATACCAAAAAATACTGTATTTTTTCCCTATAAATACCTATCAATTTTACTCACTTTCCACACCAAATATTCATACCAACTCTTCTCCTTCCAATATTTTTTACATTTCACTCACATTTTTCTACTAGTTTCCATTTGTATCAAAAAAACAAATGGCCTCTTCTATCGAAGCTGGAGGCGCTTGCACTACTGTGGAAGATATTGTGTTGTGTGAGTATTGAGTTAAAGTTGTTGTGTGATTCTTGGGTGAAAGTTAGTCATTGTCCTATAACAGGCAATGAGATGAAGTTTTCTCATATGTGGAGAAAAATTCATGAATAATTTGCAGCTAGATCCGGTTTGACTCGGACGGAAAGGGCCTTGCAATCCAGGTGGAAAATTTTGAATAAAGAGTTAGGGAAATGGAGGGATGCCTTGACAAAAGCGAGGGACAACATGAGAAGCGGTCAAAATCTTACCAATGAGGTAAAATATTTATAATTCTCGTTTTATTCAATTGAACGTAACTTTTTTTTTTTCTTCCATATTAAATTTATATTTTCTTGCATTTCTAATTTATTTATATTTTTGTTGCATAATAATTTTTTGCATGCATTTGTAAATTGTTTATATTGTCTTACATATTTATTTTTTTGTTGCATAATCATTTTAGTTCTTGCATTCTAAATTGTTTATATTTTGTTGCATAATCAATTTTTTTCTTGCAATTCCAAATTATTTATATTTTCTTCCATATTCATTTTTTGGTTGCATTTCCAATTATTTATTTTGAATAGATCATACAAGCACAAATGTGGTTCGGTGCTACGGGGCAAGGCAAAAAAAGTTTCCAAAGTCACCAATGTTGGGAAATTGTGAAGAATTGTTCGAGATTCAAAATCATTTGCACTATTCCGGAGGTTGTGTTGAATGAGATGCCGCTCCACGATTTGTTGACAACCGATTCGCCATTGGACTCCCCAATGGATCAAGACTCACCACTCCCACGTGCGCCAAGACCTATTGGGAGAAAGGCGGCAAAGGCAAAGAAAGGGAACACTTCGAACAATGAATGTGCACAATTTTTGGAGCAAATGGCTAAGAATAGTGCACTGAGACTTGAGAGAGAGTTGAAAAGAGAAGAAGTGGACAAGGCACGACAGGAAGCATTTTCAATTCAAAGGGCGAAGGCACAAGAACAAGACATGGAGGATAGAGAGATGAAAATCATGGCCATGGATACCACCCATATGTCTCTTGACACAAAGTCATACTGGAAAATGAAACGAAGGGATGTGATGAGAAGAAAACTTTTTCATGACGACGGACCTAGCAATACGGATTGGTTAAATGATGGAAACCATTAGGTTGGATTAAAATTTTTTTCATGTACTAAGAATTGTTGTATTATTTCCCTTTTATTCAATAAAGAAAGCATTAAATAATATGAATATGTATTAAAAATATTTGCAAATGAAAACAATTTTAATTAAAAACAAACCTTATTTTATTGCAAACAACACACAAATAAAGCATAATTAAGAACAAAACATAATTCCAAACACACCACACACAAAATAAAGCAATCTTAAAAACAAAGCATTAATATTGTCTTCATCCATTGTGATTGCCTTTCATCTCCCACAAGTGCTCGATCAAGTCAATTTGACGTCTCTCATGAACATACAAAGATTGCATTTCCTGGTAACGATCAATCATGGGGTTGTTGAATCGACCATCTCGAACTAATGGTTCATGCTCCAATGGATGTCCATTCGGTCCCATCGGCCTTTCATAAATTCTTGTTAATGACGTGTTCATGGGATCCGGTTCAAACTCCTCTGTAGCTTCATAATCATACTCATCCTCCACAATCATGTTATGGAGGATGATGCAAGTCATCATAATGCTTCGCAGCACCTCCTCATCTAACATCCGAGCAGCGCCCCTAATAATAGCCCAACGAGCTTGCAGGATACCAAAACACCTTTCCACGTCTTTCCTGTAACCTTCTTGAAAGGCAGCAAAGCTTTTTTCCTTCTGGGATTGAGGATTTTGAATTGTTTTCACGAATGTCGTCCACCTAGGATAAATTTCGTCGGCAAGGTAGTACGCACCAGAGTATACAGTGTTGTTGATTTCGTACGTGATCTAGGGGGAATGACCTCGCAATACATCGTTGAATACTGGGAATTGACCAAGCATATTGAGGTCATTCTGAGATCCGGCAACTCCGAAGAATGCATGCCAAACCCAAGTGTCGAATGAAGCTACAGCCTCCAGAATTATACTTTTTTGGCCCTTTCGATTCCCATAGTCTCCTTGCCAGGCAGTTGGGCAATTCTTCCACTGCCAGTGTATGCAATCGATACTTCCAATCATTCCTGGGAAACCTCGAGTATCAGCTTTTTTTAGGAGCCTTTGTAGGTCCGCAGGAGAAGGTCTGCAAAGGTACTCCCTCGTGTAGAGATTTTCTACTGCATCACAAAATCCCACCAAGCATTCTAGGATAGTTGATTTTCCCATCCTTGCAATCTCATCCACCTGCTCTGCAGATGCCCCATAAGCAAGCATCCGCAAAGCAGCTGTAAGTTTTTGCTCTGGGAGAAGACCCAAAACTCCACAAGCATCATACTT